TATGCCAATTATTATTAAATGCTAATTATTAAAATGTATTCATATTTTTAAAGGGGTACACCTGTCACTCTTTCCAATCGTGCCATGCCGGTGACGTTAAGCGTTCGAGTAGCTAAATTGGTTATTTTCTCTTACCAGTCTTCTAACTGGCGTCAGCATTCTGTCTAATGATCCTTGAACAATTAATTTCGTCTATTGCTTTAAGTTAAATAAACCCAAAGACACAAAAATATGACAGAAGGGTAGGATAACATGTGATCGAATAGAGAAAAGTAAATATCGAACTATTGGTTTTTTACATATTGTGTAGTTCTTATACCTTTAACGTTAGAGCGAGTATGAATCATCCACATTTCGTATTTGTTAAACGTTAGAAGTGCGCGACGACACAAACAAAAATCCGTTACAGATTTCACGCACAAAAAGCTTTTTAAATGAATGGATTTTTTATACGTATCGGCATTGGTAGATCGCGCATTGCTCGTTGTGGCTTTGCAAGTCTCGCTACGGTAAAAACGTTCAGTTAAGGTAACTTTACGATATTAGGCTAGCTTGATATACAGCGATCCCCCACAATTCATTTTTGCAGTCCGCAGTCAAAGTTTTGAATAGTTTCCGTAAAACGTTTACGTTCCTTTTTATAGACTTATGCTGATGTACGATGGCTTTAGTGAAGTGATTCAGCGTTCCTCTGTTACGCGAATGGATTAAAGCGTTGACGGCGACGGTAGTGCACGCTATTACGTTTCACTATAATAGCTACATTGCCCTAGTGTTACCAGTGCCCTAGTGTGTAGTAATAAATACAATAGCAGCAATTTTCCGCGGCGTCGGTATATGTAGCAACGTCTACTGTCACATCATTTAAATCGGCCCATTGTTACGCGAATGGTTTCGTATCGTTTAATTTGAAAAGCCAACCAACGGAGCCGCTTTTGGGCCTCGGTTACGCTGGAATTATGCTGGATACATCGCGATAGGTAGAGAAGAGTTCGCAAGCGTAAGCGAAACAACTGCTTCTTGCAAACGTATAGGTACGATTGGCTTTCCGCGTTTTTTGGCAATATCCTTCGCGTATTCAGGCCGACGTTGCGTGATGTAATTAGTGACTAGAGCTATACAGTAGTAGCTGTGCCCTTTCCGACCAGGCTACAAGTCGTGACAGACGATTCCGTACATCTACCTGGTCTATTGGCTGATCTATGTAATAATAAAGCGATGTCCAGCAAGACCAATATTAGCATGCATGGTACCAATGACATAAAACATATACTCGAAATAGAAATGGTCACAGCAGTAGCGTCAACTACGTCCTATCTTGACCTATAGAAGTAGCAGTTAAAACCTTAGGCCAATCTATACCGTACGCCGACAGTTCTCGTATACGATGCTTTTCAATAGATATCTAGCTATGTAGATTGCAGTCACTATGCATCCTGCATCGCATCGAGTTCCTTTGGCAAGAACAGCTAGACAGCTGGATAGGTTGGTAAAGAAAGGCATGACGTGTCGTATGTTGACGATACAACGACACTAACATGGCTATATATCTAGCAGAAGCCAGTGTTATCCTTCAATCTAGAAAAGGATAGTAAATAGTATAATCAACATAGCCTTAATAATTACACTGATTGGCTAGATTTTGTCTCTTTTTAGCGGTAGATTAGTCTTGCAGCTCAGATGGCCACTTTGAACACTTGTACATTATCCGCCGGTGAGATCCAAGCATCGCGTTACTAGGGCAAATATGAAAAGCAAATAGTATTGTATAATCCTAGTGCGAATATCCTTACATGTTTTGTTCGGCTTTCATGGCCATTGAGTGTTTTTCTTTAGAAAATAGTGCCAGATTTCTGGTTTATGTATCTCATGACGCTTTGCTTAAACACTCAAATGTATGCTTGTTTTTCAAGTGGAACTGAACACAATATACAGAATTGTTTGTACAGAACTGAAGGCGAACACCTTCAGTGCGCAGAAGTGAAGCAATAACGTTTTCACAATGGCAGACAATGCTCTGTTGAAGAATCGTTGAGATGACTGTTCTAAATGACAATGTAAAAGGGCCACAAACTGTTAGTTCGGCGACCAATGAACTTTAACTAGTCAACCATATGGGATGATTTCAAGTGTTTTGCTATCTAGGTAAGGATGTTGGTAAGCTTCAACAGCACTCGTACGATAGTGCATCCAGAGAGGGCCTTGTGTTTGTCATATGCGTGTACACCGATAGGCAAACATAGAACGCGTTCAATATAGTTCCATTGCCTTCCGCCAGAGCTGTTTTCTCCAGATCGTAGACAGCACAAACGAATTAACAACATTTGTGACAACTGATTTTTTCTGAGATAACGAGAACTGGCACGTCTGCCTGCAATAGTTCACTGTGTTTTGCTATTTTCTCTATTTTGCAGTAACGTCGCTCTAAATTTGTCCAGTGATTGCAGGTTACTGATTGAAGTGAATCGTATCGTTGACTTTAAACTCCTGCTGACTGTGAACCTCGAGCGCAGCAGAAGACTTCGACTTCAGCGTCTTCCGTCGACGGCAACACACATCGCGTTTATAATACAACAGGATACTGTGAACAGCATGGCTCGCCGTGGCGCATGGACAGTACCGTTTATATAGGTTATGCTGTCCGTTATCAGCTCAGATCGCTCGACAGAATAGCCGGCTTGATAAAGCATTTAGTTGTCGTTGTGAACTCAAATTTAAGTGACTTTTTCCCTTGAGCACCGATTCTGTCATTATGCATCGTGAAGCACAACAAAACCATCCGGTAAGTGAAGGCTCTGACTGAAAATGCTATCGTTACCATTATTCAACAGGCGTCTGAAGTAGATGATCATTCGGCCGGACGGACCTTCTTAGCATAAATGAACAACCTACATGCATCCATGTCTAGAATGTATATGCGGGACCCCTGGCGTGTCGAAGGTGATAATAATGTTCACATATTGATACGTTTTTGTAACTATTTTCTAGCTGAATAAATTTAAGCAGAAGGACTCCCCGGACATATTTCTGTGGAAACCTTCGAGTATTATTTGGAACAAATATCGACAGAACGGCGTAGATGATGCCGGTAATAATTAGCCGACGGCCAAAGACCTTAATGTGCACAAGCGTACAAGGTCTACCTTCATACTGCACGTACGGTGCAATCTTAACTAATGAATGTAATGTATTGCCACACGACCGCTGCGCCCGCTCTGTTCAGTTATGATATGATAGGAAGATCTAGTAGCATGATGAAGCGAAGTCTAAAGTAATGGTGGTAAGTGGTAATGCGTTTGTTAGCGAAATGCCGGAAAAAAACGTTTGCTTAAGAGAGCTGAAAAAGTATCTGCAACATGTTTGTTTTTTTTTCCAAAACATTGTTTGCAATCGTAACAATTATTCTTCCGTGGCAAGCATTCGAATAACAAATGTAAATGCGCCTCTTAGCTCTGATCCTCCCAGACTATTCTTAGTTTGCTAGGAAATAGTAAAAGCAATTATCCGGTTAATTTAGCAGATTTCGTATTGTCCGGAAAAAGCTTGAAATAAAACAAAACCTGTTTTTTCGTTATCGTTCCCTTCAATTAATTTTTCATAGTACATGCACTTAAGCGTATTTTAGGATCGTCTGTTATGTTCTTCTTACCGCTTCCTATTTACGGGGCGCTTACAAAGCCCTAGGAACGTAATTCTTATCAGAAAAGCCCATTTGAAAATAATGCTATACGACGTGTCCACGACTGTCGTTATAAATATTACAGTCGTTGCGAACAATAACGATGTAGACTTTTGGGTTGCAAAATTATAAATTAGCGATAATTGGGATAGATCAAAGTTTCAAAGGTATAATGTTTGCAAAAGTCTGTACTTAACAGATTCTCTTTCCATGTTTCTTCACGAATAAATAATGGTCAAATCCTCGTCTGACCTGAATTTGAATTTCCCGCTAAAACCAACTCTTGAGCTCTATATAGACGTATCATTAAAGCGGATCGAACAAAGTCAATAGCTCGACAGATGTTGGCGGTACTAATGTGAGCTCCTATAAGAAAGCGATATGCATTGGTATGCAGCCTAGCTTTTTTTAGTCAAATTCACTTTGATAATGCACATACATTTTAATGCTAACCAGGCTGAGATGTTCAACGACGTGTTCTAGGTCGCATATATTTAGTGTTAGTGCGCGTGGAGAACCTGCGCAGACAAAAGCTTGCGTCAGAATCAGCAGGTCCGGCTTTCGAGATCTCCTATTTATCGTATATTCGCTACCTGGCGGTAGCTTTGTGGAATCAATGTATCTTTGCTAAAATTAAAAAGAAGTAAAGCAGTAAAAGGTACCACGACCATTTATAGTGAAGCCACCTTGAAGTTCGCATGGTCATCTGCTTCGGCACTTCGACTGCGATTACTTGTAACAACGATTTATTCGTAAACACCTTTAAGTGGGCAAGCCAAAATAGAAAGTTCTGAGAAACAGCCCTTTGAACTCAGTGCAGATTGTTCTTGTCTAGCAAAGAGGAAGGGTCAACAATATTTGACTTTTGAAAAAATGGTTCGGCCAAACATCGTTGAACTCAGCGAATGACTGCAACTGCAAAATAGATATTCCCGCCCAGCGTGGGTACCGATAACAATATTTCATCCAAAAACGGCGTAAGCGTCAAAAAAACAACAAATCACCAGTATTTTTACTTTTTTTTCGACACCTAACTACATGTATGCATTGGAAAAATCATCTTCAACCAATTCGATATACATACACGGTTACGCTTTGTTCGATGTAGTTACGATTAACTGAAACAGAAACAACAGTTTTATCGAAAGGCAAACGTCAATAGCGCCATCATTATGAGAGAAAAAAGACCATTATGAGATGGTAGTAAAGCAATGATAAGCGATAAGAACTATCGAAGGACATGTCGTATTATGTCCTCGCACTGGCATTACATACGCTTGCATTATAGCGAAGGACAGTTTTGTGTATGTGAAGAAGAAATGGCATGGTCCATTAAGCGGCAGAAGCAGTAAGCCAGCGACGAAGGGCGCACATATCCAGCCCGTTGTGCGCGCCCTGCACCTAGACGGACCTTCACAATAAGAGCAATAGCACGACTTCGATGCTGTTAATATTTGCTGGCATCATCAGCACTGATCATGACTGCTGTATATACCTATCAGCGAAAATTGCCAATGTCTGCAACGATATGGCGTAGCCTTGACCGTATCTGCATGGCTTAACTGTAACAGAGTAATGTTAATGCTTATAATAACAAAATTAAAATGATGATGACGACCATGATGGTGATGCTGATTTTCGGTTGTAAATCCCTCGTCTGCAGATAACGTAAATGCGCAAATGCAGAATTTGAAGCCATCGCTTTCCCGTACCCTTCATACAGTTTCAACGACTAGCAAACTATGCCCATTGAAATGGCGCTTAAGCGTTGACGCTGGGTCTGCGAACGGGTGGGAACAGGGTGGTAGCCTCGTTCGGGTTGAACGTAGCTCAGGAAGATGTTTAGTTTAACAAGATGGGCCTCCTGGAATGAGCATTGATTCTACACACTGCCACTTACACCATGGTCTTAGTACCTTAACTTGATTATTATATTTTGGGGGTCATTTGGCCTAGCCATGGGACATATTACCCGAAGTTAATGGATGCTGTGGTAATTCAATTAATCGTTAGTAGTCAGTTTTGTCTTTGGGCAGTTCGGTAGCTTAAGCAGCATTCAATGATCGTGTGGGTATTACTTCACAAAAGAGCGCGGATCCACATGTCTATGGATGAACTGTGAGGACGTGATATTAATTCATATAATGGACATTTACATATTCGAAAGGGTTCTATCGTGTGATAAGATTATCAGCTAACGAATTCGCCATTTGCTTACTCCCATCATAGTTAATTGTAGATACACCGTTTGGATTATTCATATCAAACAATTGACATGTTGACAGGCTTAAGCGTAGCGAGTGAAGAAACGTAGAGGCTCAAATATCTCAAGCAAGAAACAATATTTAGTAGGATGATTTCAAGAATGACTAATATATATACATTCTGGATATATATATATTCTGAATATATAAATGGAGAACGGAGTAGACAGCGTTCTTGTATAAAAAAAAATCTAAACATACGTATTTCAATATTCTAATTGCGGTTCATCATCATAGATCTTTCAAGATAATTTCGAAAAATGCGTCCATGCATTTCTACAAAATTTCCATTCGGGCTACTGAAAAACGTATGGACAGCCTATCCGCGAATTTCGAAGCAGCGACAATTAGAGAATCAGAACGTCATTGTCTTGAGCGTATTGGCGCAAAATCGCCTACTTCCAATGGCGCGTGAAAATTCAGGAAAACTCCAAGGAGATGATCTGTAGCCATATAGTGATTATTTATGCAACCAGTAACATACTCTGATTTAGTGTAGCACGTGTACTTCGCATTAAGCGCCGTCAAAGTCTTCTCTACTCTCGTTAATAGAAATCCATCAGTCGCTATTTTTTTAAATCATCCATCAAATCGACTGCACAGAAAACTCCTGGCAAGAACGCCCCATCTATTCAAGTAAGAGGGAAGCGGTCTGCATTCGCTAATACTAGTACTTGAGCTTTGAGAGGACCTGCGGAACCACAACCTAAGGCACTCAAGCTTTAGATGCCGCAAAAACGATCTGAACAGTATCTTCAGCGGAGTTAGGCAAATTCCATAAAAATTGGCAGATCTATTCATAAAAGCACACGCTATGGGAAGTATATGTGCATGATGATATTTATACTAAAATGACAAATGGAAACACACTGTTTACCCTTATATACGTGAATGTTTTACGCTAGAAAGAACACAACATAGTCTCTATTCTACAATGTACATATATGAAAAGTGTCTGCTTTGTTCGGGGCGCTTGTAAATTTCTGTGTTTAGGTAGTCGGTAGTATTAACAGCCACATATTTTTTTATCACACAGACGACACATGTTTTATCTCGTTTGTTTATCGAGAAACTGACGCTGATTTGAAATTCAAATAACAATAATAACGTCTTTCATATACGACATTGCCATTTGAAGCAGCGGCTCAGAAGTTTGCCACTGATTATGATACCGTTTTGTTGAAAATCCATCAAGTATAGGGAATTCCTAGTTACAATGTATATCATAGCTAATATCTTCGGCAGATAGACGCCGTAATCTACGATTGACCGGCAGAAAATGTTTACCCGAATGGAATTACTACATGGTTCTATCTATAGTTTTTAGAATCTCGATATACAATCCATGTTCTTGGTGCCTAGGCTGCTTACTTGTACCTTAGTACAAATATAGTTCATCTAAGAACAGCTTTCGTCCCCTGCATGCAGGCCGAGGGCGGAATTTACCCGAATTGATTGCAACATGAACTCTGCGTGTCCTCACTACTTGCTACAGTTCCTATCACTACTATTACTATGACGGTATTGTCCAAGTAATATCAATTATACTACTCGCGCTGACATTCCATTCAGCGATTCTCACATCATGCCTTAAAAAGCTTTGGGTGTTTCAATAAGGCATTTAGGCTGGAACAGAGTTTTGAATTGAAATAACCTTCGTTGACGCCTATGGATTATGTGGCTATATTTACGAACGTTACTGTTCCTTCAAATCATCATCAACAACAACAACAACCGGAGTTACAAGTTGAACAGTTACCGGCCGCGTGCCCGTGCAAATAGTCGAAACCGAACGAGACATTAAGGTCTCTTAAAAGCTAAGGGCAGATATTCTAGGTAATAACATTACATAAAGAGATTTCATAGCTGACTATACTATCGTATGTAAATTATTAAAACCGTGAAGATTGTAGGGTCACATATGCTATTGGCGGACTCCGTAACGATACTAGGTTTGTGATATAGATGGTGGAGGATTTGGTGCGAAACGAACCATAATTTATTTTCAAAGGTATAAGAGGTTAATTGAAGCACCGCTGAACTGCGTACCTGAACTTCGCACGCATTTTAACAGCCAATTCTACACGTTTCCCCTGGTCCTAACGATGCATATCAATTTACGCCTTGTTTTTTTGCGACCACGTATGGTATATACAATGATATGGAAGTAACAGCACAGCGTATCTTTTATGCCTATTTGTTTGCTGCAGTAAATGGCTAAAATGTACATAGAGAAGCTCAAACGTGAATAAGATATGTTTCTCTCTAGGCACGCAACGACTCCCTTGGGAACCCATTGCGTGCATATTACGCATACTCAGGTATGAGAACTCGATTGAGAGGAAGCGAAACTCGGAGAACGTTACACAACATACAAATACGAGATGGCAGTATGCAGTAAATATTCCACTGTTAAATAGATTAGGCTAGATAGAAAGCCTAATGGCAAAATTATGCGTCTATACCAAATGATATGCTACTCATTATCTGGATATGCATAATAGCATCCTAGCAGAGTATTGTCGTATTTACGGTAGTGACGAAAGAAAATACTATTGTAATTATCATTTTTATTACTATTTAATATTACTAATTGTTTAATTAAGGTATATATTAAAAAAAAAATCTAGATCTTTTACAAAAATATGAAGGACGGCAACCTTTGTAAACGTATGGGTTAAGCTAGCGATTGTAAAAGCAAGCCTTTGGCCGAATAAAAAAGTCCTTATTTATCGATAAGTGAACAACCTGGAGTTGTTGAAGTGAACCGAATGCTTTTCTGCAATTGGTGATCGACGGTGATCCTTCATGAGCTAGGAAGTGTCCAAGACGTTTGAACGTTATTAATTAAGTAAATTGGAGGATTGCCCCGAAGATTAGATATGTCCGCAAGTGAGCTGATTGATTGAAGAACGGCAGTTTAACGATACTTCACATAAAAGTATATTTTTCTGTACATCTAAGAGGTGTGCATAATGAGAGAACATATTTGGCTGGCCACCGCTAGTAGACATAGCTTTTTGAAATGGCTTGACTCGAATGGACGGTCAAAGTCCAGAGGATCATCGTAAATATCGTTATGCCTTGTCATAAAGCAACTGCAACAAGTACGAGAATTTTGCTGTATCTAAGTAGAAAACTACGACCCTATTTTGAATTTAGGGGTCTAATTAGACGATGGAGATTGAATTTTCACGTCGCGTAGACCTCTGAAGGAGAAATTACGGAACAGTATTGTCGAATTTGGGCGCAAAGAGGAATAGATGTGCTAAAACAAACATCCGTAGATGGCTAGCGTATAATGCGGGAAGCAACGCAAAGAACAGCTAAATCAATAATAGGCATCAACCTATCGTGCTCCTTTAGCCTGGTCTTCCCGATAGCGTTACATTAGTCTGCCCAAAGGAAGGTTCAGTACAACCGATTTTACCTACCCTGGAGAAAAGTAGTGCAAAAAGAAATGTGAATAAAACGTGCGTAATGGCAGTATAACTGCTTCTTATCTATCGTGTGCCACTTGCTGGGGATACTGCGAGCCTCTAAACGGACATGTCACGGCAGCAGTATGAGAGCAAGACGGGTCGATTGCATATAAACGAGGACCTCATAGCAAAAACACTACAGCTACATCTATGGTGTACTCCGTTACAATAAAACTTTTTGCCAATCGCTCGAAACCAATATAAATTTCATGCATCAACATGATGGATTAATAGGATCTATGGGTTGTCGAATGTCCATGTGTGGCATCGGTAGAATATTTACTTTGATAATTATAATACCAAGACTTGGACTCACAGTAGTGGGTAGATACCGTCTAATAACTTTCCATCTATAGCTAATTAAGGTGATAATGAACATAAGCGTTTTCATTTCTCGTTTCATTTCTGACCCGTTACCGGTCGTGATTTCTGGCATCTCCCGCTTTGTCAGCCAATCGACTTCGAATCGTTCGAGGCGCGCCTTGCCCTTCTTGGCATTCTCATCATGGTCATCGTCGTCGGAATATGGGCCGCCATAGCGTTTTACTGTTTTGTAAAACATGAAAACAAACGGCTTAAACTCGACAAGTTCGCCAACAAAAGCACTCAACTATAAGGAAATCAATTGCAGCAGCGGCAGTAATAGAACTAGCAACAACAAGAGTGAAACATGACGTTGTGAAGACGTCCGGCACGTCTACGGGTAACGGAGATACTATATATATATATCTGTGTGTGTCTTTAGCGTACGGCGCTCAGTCAATGTCGTGACAATCACATAAATATTTTCTTAATATTATAGAATTATTTTGTAAAAAGGAACATTTTAATAGATTTATGACGTGTCACTCACTGAGTCTGCTGTTTCATTTTTCGTCTATTGATCATTATGTATGTGCATAGTTCAGTTTGCCAAATCTCAATACTCGTCTGCGACTACGGCACTTTTTTTTTCAAAAGAAACAGATATTTTACATTTAGAAACATTTAGTGAATGTATATTAAGAAGCTATGTCCTGAATTTCGCTATTGTGATGTACGGGAACACCGTAATCCAACATTGAACAACCATAAAATAGCAACTAATGTGTATAATGGCTTGCATGTACATACGCGAATAACAATCCTAATCTCACACAGAACGGACAAAAACATTTAGCAATTATCAGTTTGAGAATGTCACTTGCTGCCTGGGAAGTCTGTTTTAACTTTTAAAGAAGCCTTCTAACGGCACTAGAACACTTTCACTTATCAATGAAGCAATCGGAAGAGAAACTGCGCTTAATCGACGCAGGCGTCAAGACCTAGAAATTTAATTGTAATCAATGCGTTGGAAGGATTGCCTTTGACATTTTCTTTTGGAAACTACACAACAGCGTATCTGAATCGAGGCAAGAGACTCAAAGATATTAAGTTGAAGTCCTAGATGCGTCTTAGTATATGGAATAGCCTGGTCATGGAGAGGAATCACGTCTTCGTGATTGTGCGACACGTTTTACGCGATACAAGCGTTAGTGTGCTACATTATGAACTTTAGAAGTAACTGCGTACACATATTCAAGCAAATGGAATTTAAATATAAATGGCGCATCTTGGAAAACATGAAACAGTTAGGATGAGAAAGGCGGTAGTGAAATGTGCATGGTAGATATTCATCAACGGTGTGTAGTTCTGTGAAAAGATTTAGAAATAAACGTAGAAACGGGAAAATTCATTCGAGCTAACACATCATAGAGCAACATAAGTTTGTTGGGCTACGTCACATAGTCTTTTATGTAGAGTTTAAAAAGATTTAATCATAGGCCAAAAGTTGACTGGCAAACGATACGAGCCGTGGAACTGATGTTAATTATAACGTTAGACATGTCGCTGATTCAACAGAAATAATATAGAATTAAGTTACAGAAACGAAGAATATGAGCTCATAGCATAAAAGTGCAATACAACGGAAAGCTCACAATGAAGTAGACATCTGTAGTTAACGGGTTGATTTCCTTCGTTACTAAATAACCTGCGAAATGTTGTTAGCTTGCTATTTTTGCTGCATAGTAGCGATTGACTTCCCTGACCCGTACTAGTTAGTATAGAACTTGTATAGAAGAATCGGCTGTCGCGTATTATTTGATTGGATATCTAGGTTATTACACAATGAGATTAGCTGCTCTTATCGATACCCTATTCAAATCTAAATTGAAGACCTCTGTGCTGCTACAATTTGTTGCAGCAAGACTTGCTTTCATAACACACACACACACACACGTTATGACTGAAAATAATCACATAAGCCACTATCGACATACGTTAAAATATTCCTTTGTGTAAGCATTGCCGATTACGCAGGTTCAATAACAACAGACCTATTTTATATTGTATGGGCCTGTAAGATGTGTCTGTAAGAAATTATCAATGTACACAGGTTATTATTCTGATGCGCTAGGCAACTTCATCATTTACCCCCGTTAACTTTCATAAAATTCGACCAAAGCTGAAATCGAATAGCTATTAGTGATCTGCGTATGCCCTTTGTTAGAGAACTGTTCGTTTCTAAAAACGTACTAGAACACTTAGAGTGGACGCTAATAGTGCGAGCTACAAGAGTAAAATCTATTCGTAGAGTAAAATGTGTTTCGAGAGTCGAAAAACTACATCAGTAGGGTAGGACATGTATTACCCTGCTCGCATAACTTGCATACCGTTTTGGAAGTTTTCGTTTACCACAGAAATACTCTATTACAGGTTAAAGGTAGCGGCCTCTCTGTCACTAGTAGATAGCATTTTTGCATTTGTTTATGTAGTACTCCGTTGGCTGGTATATGTTGCCTGAATCGTAGTTTGAACCAGTTAAACTTCCTGTGTCTCTGCCAGCGTACGACTTTGTTGCCTAAAAAATATTTGAATCTTCTCAGGTAGTATCTCTGGACAAAGAAAAATACAACATACGTATCGCGAATGACTAATTTTTAATACAATAGTAACAAGACATTGTGCAGTTTATTTTCTTTCCAATTCCGAATAAAATGTCGCGTATGGAAACAGACTAGCCTCTACTTCCCTATTTGAATTGACTGATTGAGAAAATGCTGTAAGATTTGCTTATTGAAACAATTTTAACACTATTACAATATGTGTAGCTGTACTCACTTTTGTTGTTGTTACTAGCGGCTCTGTATGATGCAACGATAAGTCCAAGCGCTAGACTAAAATAACGATGATAATTATTATGGGGTGTAATATGGCATGAGATCCTGTAGCAACAATAACATTGACGGAGCGATATCGCTTGTGGCCTAGTTTCACTCGCCATCGTTGTCTTAAACTAAAATAGTACTGATAGCAATAATCCTCAAAAGAAGGTAATTTATTTTCGTTACGTTTTTCGTATTCAGCTATCGGCTTATCACCGCTTGCGGTCGCCGTGGGGTCTCTGATCAACGAACAATTCGCATCCTGACTTGCTTTTTCACCTTACACTTCATTTCACTGTATCTAACCGCGGGAAGTTTGACTATCCCTCGGCAACAATCCTAAAAAGGATGATGCGGGATTTAGCCCGACCTGTGGCGTAACCTGTTAATAGCGTACGCGTTGTTGTCGTCTTTTCATCCATTCCTCCGCTCAGTTGACTCACGCTGATGGTTGTTGGGAGCCAAGCTACATCGGGTATGTCTATGTGGTAGCTTATGGAAAACGTATTTGCCAGCTATTATCAGGAACACGTTGTGCTCCAAGTTCGAGCCCGAGCATAAACACATTTCGTTTCGTGATGGTAACTAGTAGTTTGATGTAATGTCTAACGGTGATAACGAAACAAAGAGAGGTTAGATCAGCCCATGAGGCTACAGGCAATTGCGATGGTTAGAGAAACAGAAAGAAGTATATTGGCTTGTCGAAAAGGTATTGACTGATTAAAATTGAAGCAATAACTTAATTTGGATGTGTGCCATCTTGATCAATGACCTTCTAGTAATTTCTTGATAACACCATCATCCCGTCACTGTAGAACTTTTATCGTTTTTCGGCGAACAATTGGGACAGATTACTGTTGCATTTTTCCGCTCAAACTAGGCCAACTCCTACCTAAATCGATTGCAGTCTGACGACTGTGCGAGACCTGCGTCCCAATTTTGGGCGGGTCGCTAAGCATACGTGGTGCGACGTTGCCCTGGTTCGAGAGTATGTCCTTTTCTGGTCAGTTTTTTTAATGACTTCTTATGATCATGTTAGTACAGGTTCTGATCAGTTATTTTGCCGGACGGCATCAACTCTTAACGCACGAGTCGCTTCCAATCCTACCAGACACACAGCATTAGTGTGTGCTTTGATTGATGATTAAATCCAACGGCACATTTTTTGCACACTATTGTCGTATCTGATCCACTGTTAATCAGCGGTAAAGATAAAGGGCTTGAGAAAAAAAAAAAACGAAATCTCGTTGCATTTCTTTAGGATTTACTAAATGTGCTGCCAGTGAAACTTCGAGCTTCTTTTGAAACCACTTCTTTAAATTGCTTGATGTGCAGTTCATTGGCGATATGATGCCTACGCACATGCCGACCTTGCTTTTGTATAATCATTCATCAACTTTTTCCATAATTGGGTAAGCACTGCAAAAAGCGTCTTTTACGTGGAAACTTTGAGGACGAAAACGTTTTTTGGGCCGTTTCTTCCAATAACGCATTTTGAATATTAGCGGCACAATTATTTTATGGATATTTGCTAAACTTTTGCAAAAGTTACATTAATATTTAACTCGCTTTTTTTCAAGGGAATAAATAACGATTTTAGTACAGCTACCGCCGCCAAACCGCAGCTTTCAAATGACGCTGAGATCGTGGAGGACTAATATTATCTGGGATTTGTAACCTTGAAGCTATCTAGCTTAAAAAGCGGTCAATGCTTTTTCGACGACCTATTACATCTGTATATACTTAATCGTGCTATAACGGTCGTAGGATACGATCTAGTTGTGTTTATTGTACCTGCTGGAGGGCTATCGTTATAACTGAAACTTGGAAACTCAAGAACCTTTGCAGAGCTAGTTACCGATGACAATTCGATGAGCACATAGTCAATATATCGGAAGTACAGGTATATAGTGCACATAGATTAGAGTAGATTTTTGATTACGCCTTCAATACATTGCTGTTATGATCTTCATGCAATTGAAAAACCCATAGGACGGCCAATTTAATTTTATTATTCAATGTCCGATTTACAATTCCGTACAGAGGCACTGAACGCACTACAAAGAGCTACAGCTTACTAATTAGTAGGTATATCGTCTACTCTGCACTATTGGCTCTATAATATCATTTGTTTATATGTAGATTATTACTGAAATTGTATGAACCGCACCCAATACTATTTGCTATAAATGCTAAATATCCAGTAATACATAAAGTGCGACAAATGTACTGAATTTATTAGTTCGTTCATTTCATAAAATATAAGATGAAAAACATCGCGACAGAAATTGCAATAGAACTATACGCACTACTACTGGCTACCGGCCATTTAGATACTCTTGTGTTGTAGACATCACAGCCAAAACTTCAGCGCCCGAACGCTAACTTAGTACGAGAAAGTCTGCCCTAATGGCCGTGTGGCAACTTAGTTCTGCTGCTCGTGGTCGGTAAGTTGTGATAAGTAACTACGATAATCGGCTCTGAAACTTCTGCGGCTCTTAGAAAGTAGTAAAGGTCTTCGCACGTGCGCGATTGTCGTTGTGGCAGACGCCGCTAGAACACCCGATAACAGTAACAGCAGCGGTAGCAAAGGCAATGACAACAACAAACCACAATTACAGTAATAACGCACATATTACAATAGAAATACGGCCGGGTTTGCTTGCTATCTGCGTCAAGCGCCATGATAACTATCAGAAGCCCGATTCGATTCAGTCACGTTGGCTTTGCCGTTGTTTTGTTTGCCGCAGCGCTTGTTATTACGGACTGCTGGTTGGTGACTGGTATTCGCCGACTACTGATAAAAACCGACTTTTGCTAAGGCTCCTTTTATTAGATGCCGTAGAAGTAGACGCTTACAGCTGCTATATGTAGGACGCAGGAAAGTTTCACCACAAATTGTGGTTAATGACAGGTTTCAGCCGAGACCTAAAACGGCACTTGGTGTGGAACGTGATATTACATTGTAGTACAGGAAGATGACGAAAACCATGAAAATCGTTTTCGATCATACCGATAGCAAAGTTGTACAAGTAATAATGGTAGTGATAGTGACGACGCTAAGCAACGGTGGAGGAAATCCACTAACCAGATTCGCGATGTAACTCATACATCGATGTGGCCTTGACGAATGTGGCCACGAGAGATACCGGCTAAGTATGATAGCTAACTATTTCTAGGGGAACTAGTTTGCGTCCCATTCATACCTTGATTAATGAGCAAAAATAAACTTCTTTTTTTTTATCGAACCGCTCACGTTCGACATTTGCAGGCGTATGCTATAATAAAACTATTTGTCCAAAGAACCTAACGTGTCCTTGTACTTCTATGCATGATGATGCAATTGAACGATAGCTGTTCCACTAATGTGATATTTTTTGCTGATAACATACGTAGTTTTCGTCAAATTGTACTGCTCTTGCAGGGAATTCAATTATATATATATATATATATATGTGTATAAGAGGAGTAAGGAATTTACACGACTCTCTATTCTTCCCGAAATTCATTCATTGTCTTGTATCAATTTTTCTTGAATTATAACATTCTCAGCTATTATCTCCTCAGGAATATATCCGTGAATATAACTTTTTAAATGTAGCAACAAGGAGTCTTCTTATAGGGATAAGATATAAAACCGACGTGGGTTTTGCCTGATTCATCTACGGTTTCTCCAACAGACCTATGAAACGGCAGGGCGTTTAACGTTTATAATAATTCTTTACCTTCCAGATCACTGATCAATGGTGATATTCGTTTGCCAACGCTCACCTTTGAACCACCATTGCTTGACATTTTTTCGTTCATGATTGCCATGGCAAGATGCTCAAAAGAGATGCTTAATAACAACTTAGACCGCATCACTTCTTAAAATCAGATGTTAGTCCTGCTCCGCTGAAGTAAGCCCAAATCAAAATCCACAAAAATTAAGCGACAAAAAAATATCATTCTCCGCCATTTTCGTCCCCATTTAGAGCCAATGTAAACTATGATTTTATATAATATAGAATCTTTACGCGCACGGGTTCCGCAGACATCCACGTTTACCATAAATCAAACCACACCATATAAAAAGGTCTCTAGAGGAGCGGATAATGCGACAAGTTAAGAGATAACACTGAGCACGACTTATACCTTTACACTGAGGTGGAATTGATAGTAAAGTTTTAGCCGATCGAATGGTGACTCTGAATAGTTTAATATTCAGACCGTTCAGGTATACCTAATGAAGCAGACGGCGTCCTTTGGTAAAATACCGCGCATAAAAAATAGCTTGTCAGATGATTCCTTTGAATGAAAGGTATATGCATTAGAAATTGCGGCCCAGTGTCCAAATGCCGAGGACGTGATTTGAATAAATACAAAAATATTGTATTGAGTCTACCATATATCATATATACAATGTGTGTCAAGAAATGAAAGTGATGCTTTTGTTTATCACAAAATCTTTATCAGTCAAAGATTGGATCTGTTTCGCATTTCAGCGGAAGTAGTATTACCAGGGGGCAAAAATGTCTCACGATTTGAAGACCTGTTGAAGTATCCTTGTCAACCCATTGAACTTAGAATTCCGTACAGATTTGTAATATTGGATGGGACGGCCAGCATGCTTCTAAGTGTGAGAGAACTTCGTTAATGTTGGTTAAAAATTCACTTAGTCTTCATCTATTTCAGCAAAACACCATCCGATCTACCCAAGTAATCCACTTCATTAACCTTTGCTTGCTACTGTTTTTTATGGCTGTACAAGATCATTTCTATTGACGATTAAAACTCGTCACGCTACTCGTGCATTCAAAACGTATTGACAGTAAACATCGTAGCACACAGATTCTTCTACATATATACATGTATATGTAAATCGAACCAAAAGAATCAGTCGATCTTTGCAGACTCCGTTTCTATTCAAATAACTACTAAAAAATTAAATAATATAATTATTTGAGAATTTTGCACCTATTCTCTGCGAGTTTTTATGTCAAAATGATATGACTAACCAATATCACTCGACCTCGCTAATTGTTGATAACTGAGAGACACATGACAAAAATCGGTATACTGCATAACCCATAACAGACAAATCTTGTACTTAGTTGATCGATAGGTAACAGTAGTATATATATATATATATATATAATAGTGAATATATTTTATATGTAAAACAGTTAATATATTTACAGTTTTCGATGGGCACGATCGTGATTTACATACACACACGCAGAGATAGATATGGCTGTTCTCCTTTAGTTGGCGCGGGCCAATCTTGCTCACGAGAAATCTTAGAAACGATTTTCTTTTCTTACGTGTGTCCCGGAACAGCCTTCGGCTCGCGACCCTTTCCTGGGTCTATAAACAAATACTGCTAAGATTTCCATCCGTTGACTATCGAAGGCAATATTTTTGTTGTTGTTTTTGCATCAGTTTTAAAGACGGTCACACATCGTTGTGGGCCATTTTGGAGTTCGGAACGAGTTCTCATTATCTGTTAGTTTTCGCACTTCGAGGTGTCCTAGATTGCTGCGCTGCCATACGTTGCCGCTTTTACGTAAGTTTATCGTCTTAATCCTTTACTATATGATAACTCAGTGATTGGCTTTTCATTCATTTCGTTATACGCAGTTACACGTTAGTTGAAAAGGAAATTCATTAGCAATGCTGATCGGTAGTGCTCCCCAAGTGCAAAAGGTGAGCGCAAACAGCATTCGTTGCGAGTAGGCGGATCATCTCGAACGTTCTCTGCTTTTATCAAGACGATTTTTAACTCTAAGTGTGACAGAGGCAGCGGGTTCTGTGTACAATTGTGTGGTTCGCCATTTTTGAGATGGAGTTGGAGTCATACACGAATGTCATACTCCGACAGTCGTTGCGGGAGCTCTTGTCGCCACACTCCCCGCTGTGGCCAGAGGTTAAAGTATTTATGTCAATCTGCAAAAGCGCTGGTCAACGGCTTCCGCCCGAAGTGCAAGTCTGGAATATGATGAATGTTCGAAAGGGTTTAAAGCGCCTGCTACGACTGAGTCCTTTGTATGGCTCTACCGACGGTGTGGTTGATACCAGTAAGAGTAACAAGATTGAACTTAAAGCTGTAAGAACCTCAGGGGCAAAATGTGAGGATCACGATCCCGTTCAGGTAAAGCTGTTGTTGCGTTGGATCGTCGAGCGGATTGAAATTGCAGCGGCATATGCCCTGCAAAGGCTACGCATCGGGCACCAGGTTGGTTTTTTCTTTTATCTTTCTCGACAATATCAATTTTAGTTAGTTGCTCATTTTTCTTCTATTGAAGTGCTTTATGTTTTCTATAGGCGGTTTAGTTCGTATAGTTTGGTGTTGTTGTATGGTATAGAGGCTTAATCGCAGAGCGTGTACAGATCTTCCTTTTTTGGTATTTTTAGTTGGTCTTCACGAACTACGTATTTGAATTAAACTTAATACTCAATGGTATCATTCAGTTGGAATATAACCACTAACTTGATATTTCCATATTTAAGGTAAATTGGATCTCTGCATTATTGGCAAGCCTTGCCCGAATTCGACAATTTTGCATTGAAATTCTTGAGAAGCTTGAACACAAAATAGTAAAACATAGCGCTACCAAGCAACATTTTGACGAAGGGGTGCCGTTAGACAGGGCAACCTTTGTCCAGCTTAAAGCAGGACTCTCGGCTAAGTCACAGCTTAAGCTCAGTTCGGCAAACGCAAGATCTAGCGAGACCGCTACCGATGTAAAAAGTCAAGTCAATATACCAAGCTCTTCAACCACAATCCAAAGCGGCAAGCGACAACGATCTACTGCTATTAAGGAACAAGCGTGCGGTATTGCAAAGACTTCGGATGATGCACGCCAGCAGGGGAGCAATGCCGAGAAATCAGATACCTGTGTAACTAAAGAGAAGCAATCAAAACATCCTATAATTATAGAACTCAGAAGCCATATAAAACAACTGATGAAAGGCAAATCAGCCATGACTAAAACCGCACTTAAAAAAATCTATGGTATTGCCTTGAAAAGAAGTCGTTTCTATGCCGCCGGCGATGATCGATCTATACGTAAACTATGCAAGGTAGCCTTGCACAAAGCTCAAGCAAGTGTAAATAAATAAATCTGTACAGTTTTTGATCGAATAAGTTGTAAAATGATGGAATAGATAGAATGATAGAATTCATTAAATTCAAACTCATTCTTTCCCCGCAACCAGTTGAAGATAATCTTTCCAATTATTTTCGTGAAACTTGTTAGCTTAAGTTTCTCCTGTAATAAAAAAAGATGGCAAGGCCAATCACAATAGTTAAACGTATGCACTCAATTATATATTTGCTTTAGTGTCTCAAGGAGGAAAGAACGAAAGTTCCACGAAATTTTTATTTTTCGATGTCTGAAATGCGATCAGAAAGTACACTTTATAGCTAACTTGAAATCGTACTAGCTGTTAGACAATGTTAAGAAACATCGCAAAAAATTATTCGGTTTACAAACAGAGTAAAAATCTAGATGTAGTATGCTATAACTGTGGGTCTCAGGTAGTTAAAAGAAATTGTGTTATGTTAATGGATTGTGAAACAGTTAAGCTATATCTAGATGCTGTTACCATACTTTAATGATAAGACCGATAAAAACTCCCGCACCTTTGTTCCTACTGGTTCTATTTTTCTCAATAAAATCGCTTTGGCAGTGCTGTACATACATAATATATATATGGAAAATAAGTTTAATCATTTGGATATAATTTGTTATGTAGGTGTAGAAGTTATTATGATCAGTGCAATCTCAACCGTTTCTCAGTGATTTATTAGAATTAATAGCAAGCGATAAGTCTCCACAAAATTTCAACTTCTATTGAAACTTGTGTATGTAATTTGGTTTCAGGTATGTAACTTAAAGATCTTTGTACTCATAACGTAGCCTCCAAGTTAAGTCGGATATATTTCTTAGTCCTTTAATAACAATAATGATGATATAAATAGAAATAATAAACTAAGTTCTTATTATTTCTGGTACTTCTCAGGAACTGGTGGACTTGCAGCTGCCCTTAGGAATTTGGTTATATTCAAAACAAACTCAAGAAAACGCCGGAAAAAGGGAAATGGGTTTCTTTAAAGTCTTGAAAGAACTAGCGACTAACCCTGTATTGTATGTCTCAGTTCCTGGTCTTATTGTGATGCATTATGGTTGGTTCAAATTACAACAGGTAATGACAATACTTGTTTGTAAATATATATATTAATAGACTGAATTTGAATCTTCATAGTTTCGCCACCAGTTTGAACCAGCTTCGTAGCATATTCATGTACGAAACTGGTCCACAAGTGTAAATCTACTTTGGCTTTAATTTAAGTTCTATAAGTAAGTTACCAGTAGGCCTTTTATTCGCTCTGTACAGTATATCTATTAATTAATTTCGTCCCGTGCTTTTCTACACTATACATTACCTGTACCCAAGTAAAGTTCAATCGTGGCTTTTAGGTGGTCGTTCAGTCTTCTTTTTAATCGATAAGTTGGGTAATCTCAGCAATATCTAACGTAATTAATTAACTTATAGGTTTAAGCTTTTGTTGGCTTGTTTTTTTTAGTTGTGTGATTTATTACGCACGGAGAGGTTAGCTTAAAAACCCTATAATTGAAGGTCTGTCTCGGCTCTGTCTGGTTGGCTAGCTGCTGCTATATTTCCTGGATATTACTTGTAACTTAACCACATGCTACATCCACTCCCTCTAAACCGGATTAGACTAAAGCGTGGAACGGTTCAACAATGAAAGAAAAGGCCAGGCAAGTGGCCGGACCCTCTTATCGCTCGAAGACCCGGCTGCATTAGAATGTTTTCAGAAAAATACGTAGACAATGAACAGTCTCAGTTGGTAGCACGCAACAACAATTTTAAAGATCAACGGTTGATATTTTTATTTGGTATTGCTCTTGTGGGTACATTCTCATTTTTTGATTGCCTCGGCTAGTCAAACAGAGTTCAAGAGACCTATTATACACAAGGAGATGCCGTGAAGGTGTCAAACACGGTCAACATTTTTAGCCGTAGGGGCAATGATGTGGCGCTAAGCTTTAATCAATAAAACCGTGTCTTAAATTATTATAAAACAAAAATTTACCGGTTTTATAGCCATTCAGCGCTCATGTATTTATACACTTTTTAAATATATTGTCAATTAGATGAAAACGTCGTTTGTTTGCTGGTTGGTTTCAAATGTCTTTTTTTGTCAGGCTAAGCGTCAATTCACGTCTGATCTAACACTTTGACTATTGTAATGTGTGGTGTGCGTAACTTAATATTTATTCTAGAACAAAGATCTTGTCCCATCAGAACAACAATTTACAGAACAGCCAATTTTGATTATATCGAGATACATCTACATGGGGCTGAAAACGGGAACGTGGGATATGGAGGCTGCCCGTGCAGCTGGAAGGCCCAAAAGCAGCGAAGGCAAATGTGAAAAGTAGTTTTCGGCTCTGCAATTGAAATCAGTTCAATAAGCAAGAAAGGAGGCTGCCATCGGTAGAGTTGAATCACTGCGAGAGGTTAGTGAGCATACGCCGAACAGCTGTGTGTGTGGTGGCTGTATGTCACTAATAGGAAACTAATCCTAAAAAGATGAATACAAAATAATAAAACAGAATTAAGCCGATTGTACAGTGTTGTATCTCTTTTTGTTTCCTTTGCATGATACGCTTCTTTAATCATGTAAAGTTCGTGGTGGGCGTCTTCTCCCGCCAATAATAAAATAGGTTGCAATCCGATTTTACTGGACGATACAGTGGTTGTTGTATAAGATTAATTTGGTCTAGATATATTACACATAGTAAAGATAGTAATACGACATAACGCGAGCTTGGCCCACTTGATCGGACGCACGTTGGTTTCATGCCCGTCAGTTTATCTACATCTAACTAGCATAGTGATGCACTGAATTCGATTGAAGTAACTCGTTATGTGCTGTACCCTGTTCACTGAACTCGATTCTTCGTCGGGCAAGCAACAAACAGGTAAACGATGATAGTTAAGGTTTGCTAATATACTTTACTTTAATTTTGTAGTTTGCGTTATGGATGTTGTTATTTATAACAAGCATGAAAAGCTCTGTTTATATTTGATTATCGCCAGTGTCAAGTCGGCGGACTTCTATAGTTGTAAAACAGCAGGTTCTCAATCAATGTTAATATTGGAGTTTTGTTTTACGTCAGTTGTGATAATGATAATTATTACTATTGTTTTCAACAGCTGTGACAGTGGATGCTTCATCATTTTGGTAAGCTATCTTAACACAATTGTGCTATATATTTATAGGAAATCGCGAAATTACTTTATAGTGTATTGCATCATTGTGAGACACAGTTCCTTAATACAACCCTCGCAAATAGTTGCCACTACAGATACTGAGAACTAACAAACTTAATTGGATGTGGCAGACTTGAAATGCATTCTTTACTTGTGCACTCAGTCTTTTCTGTGTACGGATTATCTATTAATTCCTTGGTAGGTTATCCTTGCGGAGTACCCACAAAAATATTTGTAATTTGCAGAATGAGCTATTTATAAAGTCATGTTTACCTTAGGTATTTTGATTGAATATAACGACCAATTTAATAACAACAATATACCCTATATGCTTCGGTGCGTGCCGCCTGTCTATGTTTATAATTAATCGTGAATAACAGTAACTCATCCATTTCAATTTAATAAAAGTTGGGTGTTTGTATGTGTACTAAGCGTCTAGTCAAAATTTATTAGGCGATTGGCAGAGATCACCCGTTTTAGCAAGAGTTATGTGTACTGCTCTATTCCGCATGTTGTGTTGTTACTACAAGCTAACTCAAATAGTCCCATTGCCTACAGATTATAATTAGCGAGTCTTTGGGGAAACTGAAGAGAAAGACGAAGGAGAGGAAGTTTTGATACTTTAAAGGCAACCAGTGAAAAGCGCGAAATTTCCAAGTGCGACTTGTAGTTGTCCCGTAGCACGCTCAGTGTAAACCGCGTAACGGCCTGATCTTATGTTGGAACAGAAAGTAGGTCTATTCAGTTTGTATCCTAGCATCAGCACTGGGATTCATCAAAGGTCTACCACCCGAGCTCCTGTCGTCGCCGTTCGAACTCCCACTGTTGCCACTCGACTTAGTCTTCGACAGCGGAGCTCATTGACAGCATAGCATCCCAGCTCTTTCGGCGTCTAGAGCCGGCTGTGTATCACACGTGGTTTGCGGACGTTAATAAGATCGACGCCGGCACCACCAAGACAGAAAACAAGGTAGCGGGTAGACGAGAGTGTGTCTACGAAAATGAAGCCACTCAAGCAGCCCTCAGCTCTGATTACTAAAGTGCGGCCAACTGAAGGATAGTCACACAAATTTAACAAAAATTGAAACCGACAAGGCCATCGTTCAAAATGTAATCCATTGAACGAATTTTGCTTATCTAACCGATAACGTTAAATAGATTTTTGGAATGATATTACCGTCTGACACGATTTACCATCTAATATTTACTCGCAGGTATTATGGAACATCTTCGAGTTGAATAGAAGGAGTAGGCACGTCCTCGGCCATCATAGAAGACAGAATAGAGGAGGAACAGACAGATTTGAAGCGCTCAACTTGGAGCCGCGGCTCACAGGAGTGACCATTATCTACTTCATCGTTAACTTTGCTTCTGGATATTAAATTTCTCTGGCTCAGTAGTTTCTTTCTAGCACATTGTCATTCCTTCATGGTCAGTAGGTATCACAGTTGCAACGGATACGATTAAAATGCCGCGATTTTCTACAACACGACGGTCTGTAAATGCAGTCAAGATAGGGACCGACGTAGATTGACAGAATTGGAGACATACAGTCATATGATATGATATTCATTCGAGGACAATTGTGAAAATAGGCCTTTCGATGGACAAAACCTATCTAAGGCAGCCTAAAAGCGCCAAAAATCCACCAAATAGTTCGCCGACCTTCATTATATCTGAAGTAGTGTTTAAGGACTGCACTTGACGCACAAGTACCAACATGTACTCTTTGCTTAACTAGACTAAACGATAGTAAAAAGTACTGTATTCATTAGAGTAGGAGATGAACGGGTAACGTGGCTTTAATTCAGTCAGAGGAAAAGTGTTACTTTTTTTCCGGCCCAAAAAGAGTAGGTTTGGCTATCGGCGATTGATTTAATCTAAGGCATAGCGGTATTCTGGCATTTTATTGATTTAACGGTAGCCGCTATGTACGGCCCATCGTTTCCAATCGGTGCTGGTGTTTGGTTGAAAAAAGATCAAAAACCTTCTACCATATGCTTACATGTCGGGTAACGAGACGAACCGTTTGATGACGACTGCATCTGCGCTAATTCTAAACCCCGTTCTACCACACAACTTCGTCTATGGATATGCAATCCGTATCTTATGAATATTGTAGAAGCGACCTGCTATAAGGACCGATCTTTCACCTCTATATTAGAACAGTGAAAGTGCAAATTAACAAATAGATGGCATTGCAATAGACCTTAACTTAATCATATTTACACAAAGTTTATGTAAATACACCAGGAAAATAAAATAAATGGATATAAATACACAGGCATTATATATAATGCTTATATTAAATAATATTAGATATTAATTCGGGGGCTGACTTTATCCCAAATTAGGCTGTGTAAATTTCTATATGAGGCAACATATATATTGCGAGTGTCTGTAAAGCGCATCGGTATTTGAGTTAACTTCAATGAACAGAATTAAAGTGAGTCTTTTCACAAGTATTTTATTACATTTTAAAAGACATGAAACATTGCAGTTAGAAAAATGTTATTTAAGCTTTGAGAACTGCATAATGTCTGGTTGGTTTACTGTTCCTACAAATAAAGCCTATAATTCCTTCCAAGATTGCATATAGAATATGTCATGGGAAGTAAAGTAATATGATTTCATCTAGGATAACTTTAATATATAGCTCGACGTATTACTAACTTATATAATACTTAAAGGGAAGTCGCAGCTAGCCGTGATTTTACAATGCTCTTGCTCGCATAAAATAAACATTGCTAATGTTAAGACCTGAAACGAACGGAAAAAGTTTCATCAAACCGACTAGGCCCCTTGAGGTATTTACCTAATAGAGTTCCTACTTTGGTCTTTACTCAGTTCCAGCTTAATGTTAGTGTCTATTTTCAAACAATTGGAGACGGTGCCTTTTTTTACCGCAGGTCTGTCTAGCTGTGGCTTGATTTTAATTTCCGAGAGTGGCTCGGTCGTTTTCACTGTGAGGAAAAAGTTTATTACATATATATATATATATATATATATATATTTTGCGGTAAATTTTTTAAAGTTCTATGCGTGGCACTCGCTACACTTTCCTGTGGGGACTCTCGAAATTTCTCAATTTTGCCATCCTTAGCATAGTCAACATCCTAACTTTCAACCGGCACAAGATGCAATATTTGAGAAATTAAATTGAATTCATACTATTAAGTATATTCTTTTTATTATTATTATTATTATTACTACTACTACTATTATTATTATTATGCATATTTTTTTAGGACTATAGAAAATTACTTACGTAAATAAATCTAATCGAGCATCCACATCGTAGTATACAACACACTTCTTTTTGCGCAATTCCACAACCACACACACTTTAATGGTACAAGCGGTTTTAAAACATCCCAATAACGGATACGTTTTGGAGAGGGGTCGGCGAATCTGTATTAGCATGAAAATCTAGATATGCGCGTGTGTGGAAGTAAACGGAGGCAAAAAAATCTACTATTCCTGCCGCCGGCGTTTTCTGACTTTCGGGTCCATCCCTCTCTTGGTAATTTCGTTGTCAAGCAGGACACGAAGTGAAATTGATCCTTTGAAGGGCTGTTTCGGTATCCAGTGTCTTCACTTCGTGTTGGCCTTCTAGATTTTGCCGTCATCACTTTCCTACCAAGTAGGCCGATGATAGACGATCATGTCGCTGCACCTGGCGTTGTCGCTAGCCCCTGAGGGTATCCAGAAGGATGACTAGTGTGCAATGTCTCGTTGACCTTTGCAACCGTAATCTCTAGTTATCCTGGACTTGGGAAGGTAGGATGAAAATTGTGTTGAGAAAACCTCGAAGCCGTTCCTGTGGCGCCAGTCTTAAACTAAATATAGTCTATTTACTGAATTCTAGTTTAAGGTCATCCTTCAATGGGGGTTAACTACTCGATAGTGGAAACTGCACACATACGTATCAAGGGATCGGCTCACTAGATATGCTATGCTGCTATGTATAGGTATATACATCGATAATCGTGGCCGCCCTCTAATTATAACTAGATTTGGCTGTATTTCCCACCTTGCCCCTCACAAGGGTGGATGACTCGCGTAGAAACTCATTCTGAAAAGAAACGTAACGTTTTCATGTTCCATAGAAGGCACATGTATATCGGAGATGTCGCCGCTTTGGATTCCGTTGAAAGGTCTATTGTAAACATAGTAAACATTGATTTTTGTAAATAGGTAATTAGCAAACCTGGCAGAAAGATGGACGATTTTGCTTGCAAATTAGTTAGCCAATCCCTTTTATAATCGTTTTATTTTCTAATTATGTGGGCAGGATTTGGGTGCGGGGCATCACAGTAAATTGACTATCCAATGTATGCGTTTCTGGCAGTGTGATTAATGAATTCATATGCAAACGCTACATATATATATACGACCCTGAAGAAAATTATGCATGTTAACGGCAAGGAGTAGGTTATATAATACGTTTTCTTTTCTTAATAAGCAGAATGTCACGCAACTGTAAGATATCATCTCGTAGATGTCATTTTAGAAAATATTGTGCATAGTTCGATTGGGCTGGAGCATTGCTCCGTTCTATTAATCGGTGGTGTACCAGACTAAGCAAAGTTATGATGGAAGCAATAAAATTGTGTTACTTGAAGGACCTTTTTGCGAGGACGGACGGTGGGCTTTTCTCGAGAGCTCGTTGGCCGGCCAACATGCGCGCTGTGCTACATACAAACAACCCATATGGCTCTATGTGTATACGCACGTGAACTGTCTCATAAGCTTTGTGTAGGTGTCAGTCTAATTACTGTAGTGTGGACACCATAGCAACAATTTCACTATATTCTTTAGAGGGTGTCAGCGAGCAGACACAATATGTAACTTCGTCGTAATCTTTTTCGAATACGAACATACGCATGTTTCATACATAGCTTGTCGAAAATGTATACTTATTTGTTAAAAACTAGTGCGTTGAGCATTGCAGGATGGAGTAGAATCACTAAAATTCATGGACGGTACACTTGAAATATTCAATACGTTAAACTTACTTCCACTCCATAGATCTTTTATTCATAAAAGTATAGTCAGTCCATTTTTAAATTAGCTAACATGAGCCCGAAGTTAAGCCGTAGTTTGTTCCTTTACAATTCTTGAAACAGGCCCCCTGATTGCCTTCGGGGTGTTTTCTAGCAATCCCTCATCAAATCATAAAAGACAATGCAAACGCAATTTACCATATCGGCGTCCTTTGTTTGTAAGAACGAGCCCCAGCATGTTTTCTATTAATTTCTTTAAAATAGAAAGAACACAATGTTCTTATTAATATTAGAAGTAATAACTGTACGAGAGGCCTTAAAGATATTAGGCTACTGGGTTGTCAACCCTATGTACTTTATTTCGGCTTTTGACAGTTTTCACATTAAGAAGCAAAATGACCTTCGACTAACGAACTCTCGGTCATATATGAAGTAACCTATTTCAAATAATTACTTGTTGGGTACGGAGTTAAAATCCTAAAAGCACGCTAGCTTCAGCTATAATAATAAGCTGAAAATGCCTCCTTCCTAAGTATCCTAAGGTTTTTAGGCACAATGGCACTCCATGTGTGTCATAAATGATATTTGACACGTCGGTGCAATACTCTTTAGTGGCTTTTTGTAAGATCAAGTCGAACACGGCTTTCTCTAGGTAAATTGACCTCAAAGCTAGTTCATTGGTTTCACAGAAAGGTCGAAGTTCATATGCAACTGACAAGGTTCGGGCGATTTTCAGTCAACGCGTGGGTTTGTGTGCAATCAATTCCAAAGGAAATAATAAGCTAATTTGGTTTTTGATTATACCGACCTTTTGTTCCTTTTTTTGATAACTTATATGAGAACAACGAAGAGCTCGAGGCGGAATACCTGGCCGAAAATTAAAATATTTGCATAATCGGTTATCTTTTGTAGAATACGATTTAATGGAGATTCCTAATTCGTCTCAGTAAATTAGAAACCTTTTCCATGACTATATCTGGATTCCAATGGCAGGTAACGCGTAAAATTATTCCGCTTAATTGGTACCGCCATCATATGATGTGACGCACGTTACATTTATGAGTTTTACTGAAACAACTTCTCCGGCGCTTCTCTGATGCGACAAGTAACAATGAAAGAGGTCAATAACAAGCATATATGTTTAATTCCAATTGAAGAGGCAGAATCAAATATTTGACGTTATTTCCTGATGAGATTTTCGTTCGATCTGACTGATTTTTGAAAGTTTTGGTTTGCATGGCCGTGTGATCAATAGCACGCCACACATGCAAGTAGAAGAGACATGTCAAACTTCGTAGTTATGTGTATTTATGTGCACGGATTACATAATGATAAATAGTTGTTGCGGCCTGCCTTATCGAGATACGAGCAATAAAATAGGTTGTTGAAACGCCTTAAAGAGACTGAATAGAACTAATGATAAGAACAATCAGCATTTCTCTAAGATATCGCTAAAACCATAGGGAAACTTGCTAACTCGACAAGAAGATATAGGATCGTCGAATTTATCTAACCAGCGGATTGCTGTCATCCGACGGATCCCTTTGTAATAGCCGTCAACTGTGGGAAAAGAGACACACCGAAAAGGTAGCACATCTTCATGACCTTGAGGTAATTTCCCCGAGTGGAGTCATACTGTCATACTGAAAGAAGCGGAATCAGATTGCATCGTCTGACCTCGTACCGATTTAGGTGTTGTCCCATTAAAGGTAATGTAGCGAAGAGCCCAAAGATATGTTCATCACGTCGCCAGCTAGCGGAAAATGGCCAATCGACAGGCTGAGGCTGTGCTGGCCGAGGACTAAGACGATTATTGTGACCGTATTAATAATAAAGATTCGCACGAGTATTGATAATTTATTTAGATGGTTGCGAGGCTGATTTAAAGCACTAAAAAAAGGATAAGCTACACACACAGTAAGAATGTTATCTACAGACATACATACTATACTTTCGTTCACTTATAGCATGAAAACTAGCCTTGAGAATAATTTGGTTATATGGACATCAATAGAACTGGTGGTTTAGTTTTGACGCGTTGAAACATTATCAACAGATAGTAAATAGGGTTATTTATTCACGTGAATTGCGTAATGCTTTTGTGTCATTGGTCGGACTCGAAATAGTAACAACTGTTTTCTTTGACCATAGCCCAAGCCGATTATAAGAGATAGTAACGTGAAAAGAGACTGCATAATTCGTTCAAATAACTTCGTAATAGAAATGATTTTTGCGCACCGCACGACAGGCGACACTTCATCATGAGAACGTAATGAAAACGCGTAGACCGTACGTGCACCGGTTCTGCAATGAAAGCTATATCCGTATGCTAGTTTACAATAGGTATATATTTTGTTCAAAGGTAATGCTTAACGAGACATTCATTTAGCAGATACAAGGAAGAAAAACAAATTGAAAATCTAAGTATAGACCCTGCCACGTCTGGAATTATCAATACTGGCTACTTCGTTGAGGTGCATCGGGCATACGAAAATCATTCCTCTTTCATTATATTTGAACAGCCTTTACTAACAGCAATCAACACACGAACTTCGTGAGGCAAACTGTTTACGTGGCAAGTGATGAATAGGAGAGTTAGACGAGTTTACGAAAAGTGGCGATCTGTCACCGT